ACACACACACACACACACACACACACACACACAGACAGACAGACAGACACACACAGACACACAGACAGACACACACAGACACAGACACAGACACACACAGACACACACAGACACACACACAGAGACAAAGAAGGAGAGATTTGATCCTGGTTAAAGTTGAAGTCAAGTTGATATAAATCTTAATACACTGCAAAAAATAATCTTCTTAGTATTTTGTTTTTGTCTTTTCCATTATGCTATATTATCACAAATTCTTGGATTCAAAACTTGTTTTGGATTTGTGTTTCAATGATCTGACCGTAAGCACTTGAGTTTTTGAGTGAAAAAAGCATTTTTGTGGATAATTTTGCCAATGTTCACTCAAAAACTGAGGTGCATAAGCTGTGATCAATGAGGCCTACGATCAATCGGTTCCAGAACGAAACACAAAACCTGTGCTAATTCAAAGAAAACAAGCTGACAAATATATTGAATTTAAGATTTGGTGATAATAAAGCATAATGATAGATTAATAAGCAATTTATAAAAGACTGTTTTTGACCAGGAACACCACAAGCACTAAAAAAGTACGAAAATATATCCAGTTATATCCAGTGTGAGCAAAGTCAGTAAGTTTCACTCCGAAGCAACATTAAGTAGCATTTTCATGAAAAAAAATCCTCACCTGAAAATTAATTACAAATTTTGATAATCTTTATCAGGAAACAAGCCATCTTAAGCCATTTTGTTTCTCAAGTAAACGTATCTTGGTTTAAGAATGTTTAGATAATCGCACTGAAAAAGACGACAAAATACAAAAATACTAAAATCTCACTGGATTATTACAATTAATGGCGAAAGCAATGTTTGGAAATGTAAACGGATATTTCCTACTGACACACTACAGCAAAATACAGAAATAACTGAATTAAAACCATTTTTTTGTTGGTTAAAATACTAGTGGCCTAAGACTTTTGTACAGTCGTGTATGTGATGCAGAATCTGTATTCCAGTCTTTACAGGACAAACAATAGTTAATCTGAGTGCAAGTAGAGACGGTCACCTTCGGGTTAAAGGCGAGTGTTTTGGGGTCATTGGGGTCGACCACAGATGGATACGGCTCAAAGATGATGCTTTTACGGGGCGACTCGAGAGCGGCGCGACACATGGCCACCAGCAGGTCCACCACCTGAAGATGAACATCACATATCATTAACTCCACAAACACTACACCTCAGGACACGGGATGAATGAATGAACGCACCTCAGCGCCGGTGGCCACCTCCTCAGCCGCTCCGGACATCACTCCCAGCGTGTAGAAGGAAAACACACACAGCTCTCTCGTGCAAACTGCAGGCTGGCGGGAAGAAACCAACCAATCAGAGCAAAGAACCCAGCTTCAGTCGTGAGCAAAAGCTGACGCTCACCTTCAGCATGGATCCGTTCTGGAAGACGTGCTGCTCGTCACACACCACGCAGTATTCGTTCAGAGTGGGGATGCGCTGCTCAGAGTATTTCATTATCTAACGGAGGAAAGACAGAGGCGATAATCAGAAGAAACGCTGAGCTGATGGGATCCCGTCACAGGAAGATCAAAGAGAATCGCAGTGCAATCACAGAGGAAACGGAGCGAATCACGAGTCTGTTGTGTTATATGATGATGATGATGATGATGACTGCAGTTATGAGCGAAAAGACTAACTGGAAACTGCATTAGGACACAGCATTGTTGAATTGGTTGACACATATTGCAAAGAACTCAAGTATCGCTCCAATTCTAGATGCTGATTGGTTAATCCAGTGTTCCAGTTGGGCTAAAAATACACACAACACACACTACTGTAGATTCTTTATTGCTTATGTTCACCATGGCTGCATTTATTTGATCAAAAATACAGTAAAAATGTGAAATATTATTGCAATTTAAAATAGCTGTTTTCTATGTGAATATCTGTTAAAATGTAATTTATTTCTGTGATGCGCAGCTGTATTTTCAGCATCATTACTCCAGTCTTCAGTGTCACATGATCTTCAGAAATCATTCTAATATGCTGATTTGCTGCTCAAGAAACATTTCTGATTATTATCAGTGTTGAAAACAGTCGTGCTGCACAATATTTCTGTGGAAACTGTGATGCATTTTATTTTTCAGGATTCACAGATGAATAGAAAGTTCAAAAGAACAGCATTTATTTGAAACAGAAATCATTTGTAACTTTATAAATGTCTTTTCTGTCACTTTTGATCAATTTAATGCATCCTTGCTGAAAAAATAAAATAAAAATCTTACTAACCCCAAACAGCAATGATGTCAAACAGCTACTATGTACATCACGTTTCACTAAATCACATTTGAATGAATGTGAATGTGTCCTAAATATAGCTGTGCTGTTATTTAAGTCTACAGCATGGCCTCTTGAACCTCATTACTGTAATAACAGCTCGGCTATAAAGTAATCACAGGTTCGTTTACTACATTACAGTCGCTCCGTCATGTTCCTTTTGAACTAATAAATGCGGTTTTAAGCAAAATACTTTATATGTAGTGTAAAGAGATTTAAGAAATGAGAGCCTTTTAAGAATGAAAACCTGAACAATTTCTTAAGATAAACACACGTACAAGCGGTCAACCTTGTGTGGTAAAAGCAAAAGAAATGATTCCAGACCACAGAATTCTTGAAAATATTGCATATTCAAGTTAGTTATATTATCACCTTTGGTGTGCATTCATTTTCAATCATTTAGTGGACTGTTGCTTATTTTGTTGGTTTGTTCTTTGTTTCTAATTTAATTTAATTTAATTTAATTTAATATTTAATTTAATTTAATTTAATTTAATTTAATTTTTAAACTTCAAAATAAAGCTGTACATTTTTGGTAGATGCTTTAATCATGTGTGTCATTAATGCATATTAAAGTTTGTTATATTATCACCTTAAACGTGCATTCATATTCAATAATTTAGTAGATGTACTTATTCAGTTTTTGTTTTTTTTTTATTTCTAATTTAATTTAACAACTTGATTTATAATTGAATGTATAATTTAATTTAATAATTTTTAATTTAAATTAATTTAATTAATTTTTAAACTTCAAAATAAAGCTGTACATTTTTGGTAGGGGCTTTAATCCTCTGCATCATTAATGCATATTAAAGTTTGTTATATTATCACCTTAAATGTGCAAGTTTCAATAATTAAGAAGACTGTTGCTTATTCTGTTCTTTTTATTTCTATTAATGTATAATTTATTTAATTTAATAATTTTTTATATCATTTAATTTAATTTGTTATTTAATGTAATTTTATTTTATTTTTTAAAACTAGATCAAATTAAATAAAATTAAATCAATTTATTTTTAAACAAAATGAAGCTGTACATTTTTGGTATGTGCTTTAATCCTCTGTCACTATGGCATATTCAGTTTTGTTGTATTATCAACTTAGGTGTGCATTAATTCTGTTTTTTATTCATTTCTAATTTAATTTAATTTTATTTAGTTTTTAGACTTCAAAAATAAAGCTGTACATTTTTAGCAGGTGCTTTAATCCCCTGCGTCATCACGATTATAACCTTTTATGAGATTTACGGTCCGGTTTTTTGTTGAAATAACTATGTTTCTTCTTAGTTTTTTCTTATCAGTTTTGTATATTAGGGTTGTATGTTACACCTAATGTTGTTAAATTAATGTTTATTGCATTATTTCAGTTTCATGTGTGTTACCGTGATGGTGTTTAGTGTTTGTGTGAATGTGCACCTTCTATATATGTTAATATTTAAAAAGCTGCTTGTGATGGGCTTTGGTTCATCATGTGACTTTCTCATCACCTCCTGCTTTTGGTGGTTATCAGTGTATTACAAAGGTACAAAATAAATTTCAGTACTTCAATAGGTTGGTATATTAACAGTATTTCAGTTAATGAAATTACGGTATTTAACTGTAAATTTAAGATAAAACCGTAAAACCACAGCTGCCGGTTTTTTACCGTAAATTTTACGGATTTTTTTTTTACAGTGTAGACTCACTCACACGTTCACTTAGACACTGCACTCGACATGCAAGGATGTAATGTTCGGATGTACGCTGGGCATCATGGGAAAGGATGAAGTCGTGCGTGTTGCTGAGGCTGTGGTGAGACGGTACCTGCACGAGGAAGCCGTACTCCAGCGTGGGGATGTTCTTGCAGTGTCCGCCCGCCTGGGATGAGAAAAACAACTCAATCAGCTGGCGGGTGGTAATCTGCGCAGGGGCCCTGCCCGCCGGGACAGCCACAGTCTGATGGGTTAACGGAGACAAAGCATTATGGGAAAGGTGCCAGCCAGCCGTGTTAGGCGAGGGGGGTGTCGGAGGGCAAAGAGGCTGAGGGCTGGGATGAGGGATAGTGCATCCATGTTTTATCTGGAGGCCCTAGTGAGGGGTCACGGGTATGGAGAAGCGAGGAGAGAGTGTTTGGAAAGGAAAGCGTGCAGTCGGGGAAGACGGGATGCTGACCTGGCTGTTCGGAGGATAGCTAAACAGCTCCCCCTTGGGGTTCTTCATGGTACAGGAGATGGAGCGGTTCATGAGCCGGGTGACTCTGAGCTCGGGCACGTTCAGTTTGCCTTTCAACACTGTGTCCTGGATCAGGGGGAAACTGGGAGACCTGGAGCCAAGACGGAGGCCACAGCCAGCGGATGAGTTCATGCTGCGCTCACGTCACGCTGGAATTACCTGAATTATGCTTGCCGACTAGCAGAAAGTAGAACTAGCACTTATGCAGTGTTTTTGTCTCGTTTCCAGCACAAACATCTAAACGTTCTTAATTCAAGATACAGTTACTTCAGAAGCAAAATTATATGGGATATTAAGTCTTGTTTTGTGAAAAATGTATCTAAATTAAATTATTTTTTGCTTAAAACAAGAAAAAAAATGCCATTGGGGTCAGAAAAATTAATTTAGCTTATTTTTTCGGACCCCACTGGCAGTTATTTTTTCTTGTTTTAAGCATAAACTCACTTAATTTTGACACATTTTTCACAAAACAAGACTAATTATTTGAATTAATTAAATTAAAAAACTATGAAAAAAAAATGAAGAAAGTAATTTTTGCAGTGTGTAGCTTTCAAGCACTTAGTCAGTATTTTTGTCTTGTTTTTCAGTAAAAACATCAAAATATTCTTGAATCAAGAGCACAATTATATTATAGATATTAAGTCTTGTTTTCTGAAAAACTATCAAAAATTAAGTGAGTTTAAGCTTAAAACAATAAAAAAATAACCATTTCCCCTTTGAATTTAGTTTATTTTTCTGACCACACTGACAGATATTTTTCTTGTTTTAAGCTTAAACTCACTTAATTTTGAAACCCTTTTCAGAATATAAGACTTTTAATTTTTTCAAGTATTTTTCAAGTATTTTGCTGTCATCAACAATGAAAATATTTACTCATTTCAGCACTATGTGCACTAAGTGTTGTCAATAAGGACTAATAACTTCTGAATCCAGTGTAATTATGGTGATCTCGTCATGACGTGAATGCAGCAATATATTTTATAAGTAGGCTGTTTCAGAGCAGATAATCTGATAGAAGTGCATGAAAATAAACGACTTAAGTGACAAATTAAAGTTTTTAAAATGAGATTTGTGGCACTTTTATTTAAAATTTTAAATAAATATAAAATAAACAAAGTAAATAAATAAATAAATAAATTATATATATATATATATATATATATAAACATTATTAAAGCTCAACATTTGGGTTCAGGAAGCAAAATCGTCCTTCAAAATTTCCTTTAACTAAACCTTAATGAAACTAAACCTTTCAATACAGACCAAATAGACAAAACTGTACGTAATAACGATAGCCTTCCTGTAGCTTAAACAGCATGACGCTTGCAACACTGTCACTGGTTCGATTCCCAGTTGAATGCATGTATAAAAAAAAACAAACGTATAGCTTGAACACATTGTAAGTCACTTTGCATAAAAGAGTCTACCAAATGCATAAATGTAAATGTAATAATATGTGACCCTGGAGCACAAAAGCAGTGTTAAGTCGCTGGGGTATATTTGTAGCAATAGCCAACAATACATTGTATGGATCAAAATTATAGATTTTTCTTTTATGCCAAAAATCATTAGGATATTAAGATCATGTTCCATGAAGATATTTTGTAAATGTCCTACCGTAAATATATCAAAACCTAATTTTTGATTAGTAATATGCATTGCTAAGAACTTAATTTGGACAACTTTAAAGATGATTTTCTCAATATTTAGATTTTTTTTGCACCCTCAGATTCCAGATTTTCAAATAGTTGTATCTCGGCCAAATATTGTTCTATCCTAACAAACCATACATCAATGGAAAGATTATTTATTCAGCTTTCAGATGACCCTTATGACTGGTTTTGTGCTCCAGGGTCACATATATGCTTATACGTGTGACAATAAGCCATTTGAAAACAAATCACGTCTAATTGCAGAATTCCAGGTGAGGAACTTCACTACCCATAATCCTGAAGCCAAAGAAGTTGCGGTTACCATGGAAACATAATAAATCTTTATGGCAGTGGATTTATGGAGGCTAACTGGGTAATTATACACTGTGAATCAATATGGGACGTTGTAGCAATCGTGTACCTTTGTTGTTTTTTATTTTATTACTTTTTTTGCTTATAATGTTGTGATTATTCTGGAGTTGGTTGGTTGGTTTGGTTCACTGCTTAAAACTGATTATGAGTTCCCAATGGAGAAAATGAATGGGGAAACACTTCCAGCCAATCACTGTTGAGCCCTATTTCAGATGCATCAACCACGATCAGATTGTGAGCTTGTATGACGTAATTTCACATCAAACAATGAGAACGTACTTGGGAATTGGGGAGAAGATGCTCAGTCCTGCACGAAATTTCTTGATGGTTCCTCCGGCTTTGAACCAGCTGTGTCGCTTCTCCTGCTGGGCTTTGAGGAACTCATTGCTGAGGTGCTTCCACTGCTGCGACGTGAACGTACTGAGGATCCTAGAAACACCAAAACAAGCTTCAGCCTTCATTTTGACGCTCTTTCGTTACAGTTTCTGCTCAGTCAATCAGAATGACTCTAATAAAACTGCAGTGAAGAAGAATCTTATTGGTTCTGATGATGCTGATTGGCCAATCCAGTGCTCCAATACACACTACCACTGAAAAGTTTGGGGTCAGTAAGCTTCTTTAATGATTATGCACGCCAAAGCTGTATTTAATATTTGGTCACAAATACAGTAAAAATGTGAAATATTATTGCTATTTAAAATAACTGTTTTCTATGTGAATATCTGTTAAATTGTAATTTATTCCTGTGATCAAAGCTGTATTTTCAGCATCAGTCTTCAGTGTCACATGATCTTCAGAAATCATTCTAATATGCTGATTTGCTGCTCGAGAAACATTTCTGATTATTATCAATTATGAAAACAGTCGTGCTGCACAATATTTTTGTGGAAACTGTGATGCATTTTATTTTTCAGGATTCACAGATGAACAGAAAGTAAAAAAAAAACAGCATTTATTTGAAATAGAAATCTGTAACATTATAAATGCCTTTCGTGTCAATCAATTTAATGCATCCTTGCTGAATAAATAAATATTGTATAATGAACAATAAAAATGTAAATCTTTCTTTTAATTCTATATGGTTGTCTGTATGTTGACTTACTTCTTTAGTTGAAGACCCAAACTGAAGCCTTCTTTAGTAGATGGCTGAAACACCTCCACAGATGGTTCTGTTGGAGTAAATGAAATAAAAGTACTGTAAAGTAAGTAAGTACTGTCTCATGCACAGAAATTAATGCATGCATGTTTCTCACCTGGTCCATCCAGGTACTGTGAAAGAGAGAAACGGAGGCGTAAGACGATGGCCTCAGTTCGGATCACCTTCCATGCGGTCGCCACCTCCTCCTGCAAACACACAAATCACTTTATTCCCATTTCAACATCTGTTTATAAAGTTGTGTAGGTCATTTAGGAAGTGTGTGGTCTCACATCCAAGAAGCTGATGTTGATTTGCAGGTCGATGTCCACGTCATCGATGGTGCCGTACTCTCTGCAGGAAGAGCAGCAGACTCAGAATGAAAGTGAATCGGGTGTGAATGCACAGATCTGAATCCGAAAGTGGAGCGAGGCTCGTTCTCACCTGACGGACACAGCGCTGTCTGTGTAAATGTCTTTTACAGCCTCGATGTCAGCGTCCAGCTGTGGGTGACGGTACAAGTCGGCTGCACAGCTCCCCTACAGGTAGACGCGATATTACACCTTATTAAACGGCTCGTTTACTGCACTTTCATCGCAAGAGATGTACACTACCACTCAAAAGTTTGGGATCAGAACGATTTTTAATGTTTTTACAGGAGTTTCTTATGCTCATCAAGGCTGTATTTATTTGATCAAAAATACAGGAAAAACAGTAATATTGTGAAATATTATTATGATGTAAAGTAACGTTTTTCTATTTTAATATGCATTAAAATGTAATTTATTTCTGTGATGCAAAGCATCATCACTCCAGTCTTCAGTGTCACATGATCTTCAGAAATCATTCTAATATGCTGATTTATTATCAGTGCTGGAAACTGTTGCTGCTTCATATTTTTTTGGATCCCGTGATATTTTTTCAGGATTCTTTGATGAATAAAAAGTTAAAAAGAAGAGCATTTACTTAAAATAGAAATCTTTTCTAACAATATACACTATCGTTCAAAAGTTTGGGGTCGGTACATTTTTATTCTTTGTTTTTTTGAAAGAAATTAAAACTTTTATTCAGCAAGGATGTGTTAAATTGATAAGAAGTGATGTATTTTTAGAAAAGATCTATATTTTGAATAAATGCTGTTCTTTTGAACTTTTTATTCATCAAAGAATCCTGAAAAAAAAGTATCGCAGTTTCCAAAAAACACAACTGTTGCAACATTGATAATTCTGATAATAAAGCAGCATATTAGAATGATTTCTGAAGGATCATGTGACACTTTATACTGGAGTAGTGGCTGATGGAAATTCAGCTTTGCATCACAGAAATAAATTACATTTCAATGCATATTAAAATAGAAACCATTATTTTATATTGTAATAACATTTTGCAAGATTACCGTTTTTTTCTGTATTTTTGATCAAATAAATGCAGCCTTGATGAGCAGAAGAGACTTCTTTAAAAACATTACAAGTCTTACTGATCCCAAACTTTTGACCGGTAGTGTACATAACTAGTGCTTTGTTTCTGCAATAACATTCATTTAAGATTTAAACCCAAAAGGAAATATCTCATACATGAAGAAAATGAAAAGAAAAATAAAATGACTTTTGCTGCTTTATAATACTGGCAACATTACTGACATTACAATTACTTACAAAATGTCTAAAGGCAGATTACACCTGTGAAGGAAAAGTGTTTTACCTGAATCCCGTACAGGAACTGCTCCGGTTCATTCTCTCCGTCTGATTCTTCATCCGTCCAGACCTGGCCTTTGATATCCTGAAGAAAACACACGCAGTGCTATTTTAGTAGCATTTATATATTATTATAGTATTTATTGATGTTTTGAATTAGCTTTTATTTTGATATTTTCAGTTTTTATTAGAATTTTCGTTTAGTTGAAGTTTTAATACTTTTATTATGTGCCTTCGTTTTTTTTTTTTTCAGTTTTAGTTTCAGTAATTTTAGTACTTCAACCTAAACTCAGTTAGTTGCCAAGGCAACATTTCTAATTTTCATTAATTTTTTTTAAGTTTTGCATTTAATATTTATATTTTATTTCCGCTTTATTTCAATTAATAAAAACTATTTTTAATAGTTTTTTGTTTTCGTTAAACATGAACTTTTATGCTGGATTTTCCACTGAACACACAGTGCTGCTAATCACTTCAATAGTTCATTATTTTGAGAACCCACTAAATAATAATAATAGTGGGTATAATAATAATAATAATAATAATATATTTTATTCATAAAGTGCCTTTCTCACATTAAAAAAAAGTTAACATCTCCAAAAGAGATCAATAATAATAAAGTAAATTGAAATACAATAGATAAAAGAAAATAAAAAACAATTATACATATTATATTATACAACAATTATTTTATTCTATTCTATTCTATTATATAACAATTATCCACAAGACGTTCGTAATATTGACTCTCATCTTATTTTCAAATCTCGTTTGAAGACGCATCTTTTTAGACAGGCATAATGGTGATATTTTTATGTAATGATTGTAAAGATATGATTGTGGGTTGTGACTTTTATTGTTGCTTGTTAACGGTTTTATGTGTTTTATTCACATGTAAGCTGTCCTTGAGTGTTATGTAAGACGCCCATAAATAAAATGTATTATTATTATTATTATTATTACATACAAAACAATAGAACTCATAAACAAATTTAAAAGTATGAGTTTTTAATAATTTCTTGAAGCAACATACATTGTAAAAACAAATGCATAAAAGTAGGGCACAATGTACCATGCATTAACATGAAGGAATTTTCCATATTTATTTTTTTACAGTGTAAGGCTGGGGTTCTTTAAAAAAAAGAAAAGTGGCAGCAAAAAAAATTCCAGCTCACGCACAATTAGAAAAACATCCAATCCAAAAACCCAACTCAAGTACATTATACTTCAAATGAAATTGCAAATTTGCAATTGATGCCTATGGGATGTTTTGAGTGAGCAACTGTATCCGAGGAGGGCGGAGCTTAGTGAAAGCTCAAATAAAGAGTCGCGTGTCATCTCACATCTGTTACTCCTCAGCCAGCGTTTGTGTGCAGAGAGCCACAGGTGAACGCAGGTGTTTGCGTGTGTAATGAAGCGTGAGCGCTCACCATTGGCTCTGGTGTTCACAGACGCGTTTCTGACAGGATGAAGCTTTTCTGATCCATTTCAGCTCACACAGCAAAACAACAGGCACTCTGGGACGACAGGAGACGTCTTCAGTAAGATGAGCTCTGTGCTTTCTGAGGAAACATAAACAGAAGATCAGACAAATCATTGATCAAAACCACAGAGCGCTCTCCATTTAACTCAATAACCTGTTATCAGAGAGAAATGACCAATTACAGTGCACCTGCAGATCTATTCATCTCAAAAGAGACAATAAAATAAATCATTGTAATATCTGCAACCATAAAGATTATATAAGATCTGTAATAATGGAAGAAAATGTAGTTATATATATAAGCAATAGCCAACAATACATTGTATGGGTCAAAATTATAGATTTTTCTTTTATGCCAAAAATCATTAGGATATTAAGATCATGTTCCATGAAGATATTTTGTAAATTTCCTACTGTACATATATCAAAACTTAATTTTTGATTAGTAATATGCATTGCTAAGAACAACTGTTTCAACTGTTTGTTTCATCATTTGAACAACTTTAAAGATGATTTTCTCAATATTTAGATTTTTTTGCACCCTCAGATTCCAGATTTTCAAATAGTTGTATCTCAACCAGATATTGTCCTATCCTAACAAACCATACATTAATGGAAAGCTTATTTATTCAGCTTTCAGATGATTTATAAATCTCAATTTCAGAAAAATTGACACTTATGACTGGTTTTGTGCTCCAGGGTCACATATATATCTCTCTGGAAGAAGAGATTGTGAAGTCTCAATGGGATACTCCGGTCTAAATAAAGGATAAATAAAATATACAATTATATTCTGCATTAAAATTTTTACAGTTTTTAGGACCATTACAATATATCTTTTTACATTGTGACACTTTTACGTATTTCAACTTTAATACATTTAAGAAATACTGTTTAATGAGAATCTAATGAGAATCAACACTAAAAAGAATAAAAATTACAAACAAAACTCAAAAGCAAAACTGGATTTTTACAATGCATAGAAGACTTAAGGAGAGACTCTTTTCACTTAAGACAATAACAAACATACTTAGAAATAACCCTAGCAACCGCATAGCAATGCACAACAAACCTCCCAGAATGCTTTTGTAACCAGGCAGCAACACTCTTGCGTTGTGACCTTTGCACGGTCAAACATCGCTGACATTTTCCTCACATGAAAAACTCCAGTGTCATATTTGTGAGACTGTAGACGACAGGTGTCTCTCTGTCTTTCTGTCTCTGGTTTCAGCACAACCGTTTAAAATAATGTTCTGTTCTTTCTCCTCCATCTTGCCACTGTGTATCCTAGCAACAACCCCTTCTGTCTGTGTCACTGTTTTGTGTGTGTGTGTGTGTGTGTGTGTGAGTGCGTGTGTGTGTGTGTGAGAGTGCGTGTGTGTGTGTACAAATTTATAGAAGCAATTTCCCAAGTAGTCCTGTGCATAAGTCATATCTGATAAATACTGACAAAGAACACCACACAGATGTCACGAAACCAGCCAAGAACATGCACGACTTATGTTTCTCCCCAAATTCAAAAGATACAATTAAAAAAATATTTATACATCCTGTATTAAAATATAATTTTAGGACCATTGCTATTTTTTTTGCATCGTGACATTATTTTCAAAATTTATATTTAGAAATACTATTTTAGTCTTTCTACTACAAATTTTCATGTTTAATTCAATGTGTTATTTGCAGTTTCTTTGTAAGTAATTGTAAAATTTACAAGCAACTTCTGAGTGAAAACTGTTTCCACACCATTTTTTTTTCATTGAAGGATTTACTTTTGTTTGCATTGTGATATTAGTTTTTACATTCGTATTTAATTTATTTTTATGTATTTTTTCTTTAATACATAAATGAGATTTCAATGAGATTTACAATTAAAAATGCTGATTTTGTTTATTCTTTGCTTTTATTCATACTTTTATTTTTTTATATATCTGTTGTGATTATTTTATGATTATTTAAAATTATTTTTGTGAATTACTATTCTGAAATTTGCTATATAAATAAACTTGCTTGCTTGCAAATTACAAATAAAATTCAAAACATCTGGATGCATTACAGAATTTCAAAAAGTTTGGAAGGAAAATCTGTTTAATTGTCATGAAAACAAAGCACACAAAGCACAAATCTTTAGTGTATTCCTGTTTCTTTGGCCATGAATAATAATTCATTTCAAACTTCATTTGAAAGCAGAAATATAAATATAGAGCTTGGATGAAAACTGTAAGACAAAACAGAAGTAAAACAGCACAGGTGACATCTGAACACAAACACATGCAGTCTACAGATCTTCAGATCAGGTCTAAAACATCTGAGAAATCCAAAAGCTTTCCGCTTTTCATCTTTTTCTTTGAAAAACTGCTATTTTGTTTCTATAAAGAGTAACAGTTTCTCTCTTCACCACTATTTATGTCTTAATACACATCTTTGTGAATATCATCACTCAGCTGATGGATGCATTCAAGTCTTTTATATCAGACCTGCATGAAACCAGTCAGATGTTTGATGCAAATACTAATATAACGATATCTAGAGAGCAATTTGAACGACAACAATTAAGATGCACACAAATACCTGGAATTTTATATAATATGTTCATTAATAAATATGTGGCTCTCAGTAGATTTTGGATGGAATAACACTTGTTAATCATGCAGTCGTATGCACTCAATGAATAATGGGCGATATATCGGTCTAACCATCACATTCGACAGCATCCATCTGCTCGAATCCCCCGGTGTGTCCTCAAACACCCATAATGCCCCGCTGGAGTCGCCACATACCGATGCATCCCGAAAACACAGACGGCCAGCATCCACGACACCCCCTCCCCCACATCCAGCTCACCTTCAGCGAGGACGGAGCGACTGCCAGACGGATGCTTCTCCTCCGACACGACAGACAGCGGATGAACAGCACAATACATGAAGAAACACAGCACGCACAGAGCATCCAGTACAGCAGAATCCCTGTGCACTAGCAGCGGTCACCCATCTCCGGCTCTCTCTGTGTGTCTGTGTGTTTATCTATCGCAGACCTCGTCTGTTCCAGTGCTTCTTCTTTTTTGCCTGACAACACAGTGAACTGAGCATGCTCAGAGAGAGCCAGCAGAGAGAGTCATGTGACCTACAGCTGACAACAGAGAGAGAGAGAGAGAGAGATGCAATGCATTTGCCTGGATTGTCAGAAAAAATATCAAACACACCATATTCAAGAGCAATAGTTGTCTTTTTAGTCTTTCATCTGATTTTATTACATTTGCTGGCACCTTGTTTTCTGATGCTTTGCCGATATTGTAAGTAAATCATCCCAAGTGATGGCTTTGAATTTGAAAACTGAAACTGAGGGAGACAGAAAGAGCGGGATGAAGAGTATAAAGCAACATCCGCGTCGTGATGGTGTATTAGTGCTATTTTTATCAGCCGAGTCTATTTTTATCTCTGTGTGTTTTTATGGTTGTGTATTGAGGAATGTGAGCAGAACATAGACTTTTGTATCTATGCATGTGATTGTGGTCTTTACTCCAGCTCTAGTCTGCGGTGTGAAGGCCTCAGCCGTTACCATACTAATTAGAGTTTACCCTGCTTACCTCGTTAAGAGCCTCGCTGTACACAATGACCTCCAGAGCGAGAGAGAGAGAGAGAGAGAAATAAGCCATTATCCGGCTCGTCCTCGGCTGCGTGACTCACGTCTCTGAGAGAGACACAGCGCTGTCTCATATCCTGCCATCCTGTAAAAAAGACACATGCATTAATTATTCATAAGCACTTAATATAGCAAATTCCTATTTTAGAACCAACGACTAAAGCAGAACTGCTCTGAAATTAATGCTTCACACACTTCACCAGTGTGTTTTAGATGCAATTCAGTGTGACAAATTGCTTTTATCTATTAATTAACACTAACTATTAAAAAAAAAAAAAAAATTAAAGAAAATGTAAAAATTGGTAATTGAAATAAAGCTGAAATAAAATAAAATATAAATATTAGTAGAACTTAAGAAACTTCAATTAAAAAAAAACAAAAATTGTTGCTTTAGCAACTAACTAAAATAAATAAATAATGAGTACTAAAATTAATAAAACTAAATCTGTAATAAAATAATTTAAAGCTATATTGAAATTTTACAAAAAACTAAAACATTACAAACTAAAATATAATTAGTTATAAAAAATTATTAAAACTTAAATACAATTTTAAAAGAAAACTGAAAATAAAAAATAAAGAATAATTCAAAATATTACTATAATAGTATTTAAATAATAATATAATAATACTGCTGAAATTACTGAAATAAAAATATAAAAAAAACTAAAACTTATTTTGTTTCAGCCGGTTGCCAAGGCAACAGCTCTCGTTTTCATTTATTTTTAATTAAAAAATTTAATATTAAATAATAAATAAGATATTAAAATATGAGAAAAAATGAAAACAAGAAAATTGGTAAATCTTTAACTAAAATTAAAATGAAAACAGAAAATATAAAAACAAAAAACATACTGTTATTCAAAGTATTAATAAAAACTATAATGGTTCCTAAATTTCACTAAAAGAACATTGCTGAGAACATCAAGTAATCTTATAATGCACACTGTTATAAACATTCAGTTTGTGTATCTGTAGGAAAATGCTGTGGATTTATTCCTCTGGAAACTTAAAGGAGACAACTTTATCAACGGAGTATCGAATTTATCTCAGATGTTGCTCTAAAAATTCCTTTGAAAAATAGAAACAGGCCCTGAGTCAGTATAAAATACAGAGCATTAAAGTGAATGATTTTTGATTGCAGACTTTGCTGTCATTGCAAATCTGAGCACAGTTTGAGACACTGTCCAGAACACTGTTGCTACTGACGGTCAATCCAGAGAGCATCAGTGGGATTTACGCTGGGATTTGACCACTGCCCGTCGATGCAGGCATCAGTTGCGGCTTACAGCTCGGGGTTGCGAGGATTGGTCGATGGGTTTGGGCGAGAGGCACAAGGACAACAGCAGCATCCTCCTGTCACGTGATCTCCTCGTGCTCAGGCACCGTGCCGTGTCTCGCGCTCTGATTGGATCATTCCACTTCCCTGCGTTTCATAATCCCCCATCAGGAAGCTTGGCTTTGTTTATCAAATCTTTTCTTTCATGGACGAACCGCCAAGAAACGTTTAGAGATCTTTCTCTGGAATGTTATAATCAAATACTGCTTTAAAAAAAAAAACGCTATAGTGATGTTTTTATAGTTTGACGTCATAAATATCAATCCGCGCGTGCCTTTGACGGAAGTAGTTCCCGGTCGGTTTGGCGGATCACCTTGAGCTCGCGATCGGGAGCGCATCAGTCACGGCCGACTGTCATCAAACGCAGGTGAGTACCGTTAACGTTATCTTCAGAGCGACACTTACAAAAAAAATCAACCTCATAGTTATATTTTTCATTAGCAACGTTATTGTGTACAGTTCTAGCAAAGGTTTTCGTTCGTCAGAGCAGCTGCTGTCATAAAATAGCGCAGGTTTGGGTTATTTTCACTCACCCCGCTGAGAATTTTTTACCGCTTTTGAGCTATTTGTGTATTTAATTGATCAAAAGTTCCTTTTCACTACGTTTCCACCACACTTGACGTCTTTAAGTGTAGATTTCAGTGCGGTTTTATGCTGACTAAGTTAACCGTCTCTTGACGTTCATCATCGTTTGTAATTTTAACGTTGGACAGCGGATCATCATCGTTTGTAATTTTAGCTATTTGTGTATTTAATTAATCAAAAGTTCCTTTTCACTACGTTTCCACCACACTGGACGTCTTTAAGTGTAGATTTCACTGTTTTATGCTGACTAACCGTCTCTTGACGTTCATCGTCGTTTGTAATTTTAACGTTGGACGGCGGATCAATAACCGTCATTATTTTTAAATTCATTCGAATTAGAGGCTTACGTGCGCACGTCTCGCCGGCGGAGAATGTGACGCAGAGGCGGGACGTGACCCGCAGCGCATACGCCACATTCTCCCCGAGCGTTCGACTAGACCAGAAGCACCTATGTGCATACAGAGGATGAGGATTGCGATGTTTGATCCTCAGAGCGGCGCTGAACGCATGCCTTGATATCTGCATTATCATGGAGTGCGTTGCGTTAAGTTATCACCCTTTATTAAGTGCAGTGATGAACGAATTACGGTGGCAGAGAAGTGCTAAACAAATCACAATTCTGAAAACAAAATAACAAATTACAAACGCAAATGCAAGTCTAAAAAACAAAATAACAATTCAGAAAGCACAACAACAATTCAGAAAACATAACAAGTCAGAAAACACAATGACAAATCCGAAAACAAAATAACAAGTCAGAAAACAATGACAAATCAGACAAACCGGAAAAGGTAGGTATAGTTTGAGACAGCGCCATTGGTTTGGGATTACTCACCGCTGACTGGACGAGACATCTGTCAATCAACTTATACAGGGAAGAACCAGCCGAAGAACAGCAGAGTCGTGGTAGAAAGTTCGGAGATGGTATTAAAGTAGCTCAGTTTAAATGTATTGTATGAATTGCCCTTACTCTGGAATAAAAAATACGGGGTGTCTATTTACATTTAGTTAAAAGTGGCTGTAGAACATCAGCTCCAGTGGCGCAGATGGATAAGTGTGTGTCGTTAGCTTTTTGACGCGATCGACCCGGGTTCGATCCCGCCTTTTTGCAGAACTTTTTTTTTTCTCCCTTTTCAAATCTCTTATCACATCGTAAAGGCATTTATTTTCAATAAAAATGAAGGAAATGTTGAAAATAAAGTATCGGGTAGGGTTAGGGTACCCTGCTATTTTAACATAGTGTAACTAGGTATTTGCACTTAGTGTAAATAGAATCCATTGCTAATACGATATTTGAAAAGGGAGGAAAAAAAAGTTTGGCAAAAGCCGGGTCGATCGCGTCAAAAAGCCAAGGACACACGCTTATCCATCTGCGCCACTGGAGCTGATGTTCTACAGCCACTTTTAACTAAATGTAAATAGACACCCCGTATTTTTTATTCCAGAGTAAAGGCAATTCATACAATACATTTAAACTGAGCTACTTTAATACCATCTCCGAACTTTCTACCACGACTCTGCTGTTCTTCGGCTGGTTCTTCCTGTATACGTTGATTGACAGATGTCTCGTCCAGTCAGCGGTGAGTAATCCCAAACCAATGGCGCCGTCTCAAACTATATCTACCTCTTCCGGTTTGTCTGATTTGTCGTTGTGTCTTCTGACTTGTTATTTTGTTTTCGGATTTGTTATTGTGTTTTCTGACTTGTTATAATGTTTTCTGAATTGTTGTTGTGTTTTCTGAATTGTTATTTTGTTTTTTAGACTTGCATTTGCATTTGTAATTTGTTATTTTGTTTTCAGAATTGTGATTTGTTTAGCACTTCTCGGCCACCGTAATGAATGGTACTGACTCGGAGATGCGCCCTCGCGGACTCTGGCTCTCTCGTCGTGTGGGCGGGCGCACTTCATTGATAGGTGCTAATTATGATGCTGCATCATGTTTGTGCGAGGGAGGAACTGGACAGTTTTGTGTGTTTGTCTTGCAATCACATACCTTGACACTTGTGCGTTGTCAGATTTTTAAAGTCTTGTTCTCAGTCTTCTTGATTTATGTGTCAGCTCCATTGGCCTGCGTCGTTCAGAAAGAAATAGAAAGCTTTTTACATTCCCAGGGGCATCTTTACGCAGCTCAAAATCCAGCCAGACTAAATTATGCCTGAGGTTACATCTCACAATTCTGTTTTTGATTCTGCCACAAAATAAAGGTAGTTGCAACCTTTTATCTCACAATTCTAAGATTCTCAAGAAAAAAGGCAGAATTGTGAGATATAAACTCAGAATTGTGAGGCCTACTGTCTGTAATTATGAGAAAGTTGCAATCATTTTTTCTACCCTGTCATGAAACAAGCTTACATAGTACAGTTGAAATTGTTGTGTAAATGCATTTATGCCGACCCTAAGCAGCATTAAGTAGGAGTGCTTCAATGCCATCAGTGCAAATTTGGCACAAGTCAGTTTCTGAATTTCAATTGGGGTAGTAAGCTGAGTTGCAATTTGAGTGTGAATTAAAGAAACTAGTATTAAAATGGAATGAAATAAAGCAGTATACCAAGCCAACATAATAATACATTTTATTTATTCATAAATTATATATGGTCTATTCCCAGAAATGATATAATTATCATGTTTGAAATGCCACCTACGGAAATATGCATTTATATATGTCATTACATTTTCTGTATTAAATTCATTTATGAACCAGGGTGGAAGAGGACTTCATTAAATGCTATTCAGTAAATTATTGCTCTTACTGTCATTCGAATTTCAAACATCCTGTGAATTGAGTTGAAATGGAGCACATGCATAAATTCTGATTTGTGCTCAGCCCTGCATAGCTTGAATTCATGTGTGCATTAACAGACAGCAAATTAGCTTTATTATAAACACTGTTGGCACTTTGTAGATGTTTTGACATCTGCTTGATCAAACTGTCACACTCTTTCGGGGAAGCTGTTTTCAGTTCTGCAGTGAGTGTGTGTCGATGCAATATGGGAATGTTTTCTGTAACATCCTGTTGAGTTACACCAGAATGTCAAAAGCTTCCACTAAACCAGCAGAAGAGACCAGTAAAAGAGACGCCCACAGACACAAACCGGCCTTTCATAGACCTCACCAGGGACGTCCCAGTGCACAGTTATTAGTCATTGTTCTGAATCATCGAGTAAAGAGAACAGACTCACCTCAGTCGCTCTTTGCTGCAGTAAAACACCCGTTTGGCTTCATGAACTGCAGTAGATATGAGTCCTGCAGACCTCTACGCCACTCCGAGCCTGTCGCATTTCATACTGGTACAATCCCAGCTAGTCCAGTGCTCCTTATGGCATCCCATTCCTATTTTAACCCAGCATTGTAATGTGATCTACAGTACAGTGCTGTTTACTGCCTGTAGTGGCTGGTCCACAACTAAACCAGTGTGTTTAGGGACTAATGTTGGGCTGAAGTCTTATTAGAGTCCTGCTCGTGCAGGACAGCAAGTGTGCGCTTGGCTTGCGGGTTTTATCCTCTCTGAAGAGAAGTGGATTTAGTGCTCAAACTCCTCGGCAGCACGATGCATGCTGCTTCATTCTGCCCAGCATCCGTGTCTGCAGCGCTGTGATTGGGGAGAGAAGGTCACGCACGCTGGCGCTCCTCTGCAGGGCTCTGACAGACACACAGTGACTTATTTCCCAGAGCCGAAGGGCCTACAGGTGGGTTCAGGGCCGCTGTTTCTGATGAGTAAAGGAACTAGGCTTTGTTAGACTCTTACAGTTACTAAACCAGTTATTGTAGGTATGTATTATTTGTGTCGAAGCTAATTCAGATCATTGTGATTGACTGTAAAAAAAAAAAATTAATAAATGGATAAAATCTGCTTTTTAAGTCTGACTTCACGGGCCACCGTTTCTGGGTCCAAACGCCTGTGCTGTAATACTACTGAAAAATCATCATCCTAACTAGGGCTGGGCAAAAAAATCGATTTTCCGATTAATAGTTTTTTAAAATGACGTCGATTCGATATCGATTCTCAAAAGCCGCGAATCGATCTTTTCCAGTATTTATTTCAGCTCATATCACATACACAGCAGCTGCAAGTTCTTCACGGCAACCTGTCAAAATAAAAGTTTAGTTTAACGTTCTACTGTCAGAATATATGACTATTTAGCAGTCTTAAGACTCAATGCTGCTACTGCTAATAAATATTAATAAATCTTTATTTTTAAAGGAATAATCACATCTGTTTTTTTTTTTATTTTAACAGTAAACCTCTGTTGTGCATCACTTTGTTTGCCAAAAAATAAAAGGGTTTAATTTTCATTTGATTAGGATAAATTAAATTAATGTTTTATGCCTTCATCTGATTACCAGAAAAATTAAGAACATTTTATAGGGCCCTATTATTGTTTAAAAAAGGACCCTATACAA